ATAGTTCAAAAAAAATTCATTTTTTCCATTAAATTTTTTCACTGGTGGTTAATCACTGCTAATTTTTTTGAAAAATATATTTTGTAATTAAAGCATAAAAATCATCTAAATTTTCGATTAACCAAATCTTTCAAATTTTTTATGTTAGGCCACTGTCCAAAAAACAATAAAATATATCGTCCGTTGGTGGTAGTCTTAAAATAGACAACAAAATCATCATAATTTTAATTCAAAAAAAAAACAAATATAAAATTAAAAAAAAATCACTTACATTATTATTTTTTGTACAATTCAATTCTTTTACATTTATACATTTTTTCCATTGAATTTTCCTAAAACTACGCCACTGGTTATCCAAATTTTTACGTTACGCCACTGGCTTGAAAAACACATTTACATCTTACGTGGGTGGTAATAACTTGCTAATTTTGTTTAAGAAAACTAAATTGTAATAAGAATTAAATCAAAATCACTTAAATTATTTTGTAGAATTTTTTTTGTAGAATTCAAAAAAATCAAATGTTAAACTTATTTTTTTTTTCATTACTTATTTTTTTTTTAATAAAATTTTCCTCAAACTAGACCAATAGTTAATCACAAATATTTTTTTGAAACTTGTAATTACTAATTTGTTAGATAAAAAAAACAAATTTTTCATGTTACGCCACTGGCTTGAGAAACAATAAACTTATATCTCCCGTTAGTGGTAAAAACTTACCTTTTTTACATCCAAATTCTTATACCGATAAAACAAAAAAAAATTCAAAAATTTTTAAACATAAATATAAACATAAATTTGTTTCCCCCGTTGGCCCCAAAAACACTTTTATACTCACGGTCAAATTAATATGATTATTTTGCGGCTCAATCTCCACACCGTTCGTTTTATTCAAATCTGTTTCGTTCTCTGCCAAAATTTCTTCTTTCGCTTTCAGATCATCATTACAAATGAATTTCTACAACCTCAAAAATTAAAATTATAAACCTTAATTTCGCTATTATTCACCTCATCGATAATTCTTTTATATTGCACATTCTCCCTCAGTTTCACTTGGAGTTTATCAACCTTCTCGATTTCGGCTTCGAGTCTCGTCTGTAAATCCCACTGCGTCTGCTCCAACCGATTCTTCTCCTCGTTCGCTTTCTTCTGTTCTTCCCCGAATTTCTTCGCAAGTTCTTCCAATTCCTGCTGTGTCTGACTCAACTGTTCCTTGACTAAAATCACTTCCTGTTCGGCCGAAATCCTGCAGCGTTCCTGCTCGGTGGCCATCGCCAACGCTTGGAGTCTTTCAGCGTGTAATTTTTCAAGTGTTTCTTTGGCGGCCGTTTCATAGGCGGCTTTCTCTTCCTGAAGTTTGACGATTTCTTCGCGGTGTTTGTCTTCGGCCCAGTTTTTCCCCGCTTGTTGGAGTTGCGTTTCAAGAGCGGAAATACGCGATAAGAGGCGTTCTTCGCCGACGTAGGCTTGCCAACCTTCCTCGGTCGATTTTCGGACATCGTTGACGGCGTTTTGGACCGTTGCGAGTTTCATTTCGAGGCATTGCTCGCGCTGGGTGGCCTCTTGGATGATCTGGTGCAGTTTGTATAACTCGTCTAAAGGCACAACTGGAACATTTATCAAAAAAAAAAAAATTGTGGTCATTGTCATGTTACGCCACTGAGATGCAGTCGTGTCAAAAAAAACCCGATAATTCCAAAGAACGTTACTTAAAAAAATAAATTAAAATTTTTGATACGCCACTGACATATAAAACAAAAATTTTACTTAAAAAAGTACCCATTTCTTAGTGTTTATTACGTCGTGAGTTTGTCGTTAAAATATATATTTTTTGACGAAGTGTAAAAAATACTCAAGCTACGCCACTGGCTTGCTAACTAAAATGTTATGAATGACACTAAATTAGCAGTCTAGTCGCAAAACTCGAACAAAATGCATGAAAATTATTCAAAAAATTTAAAAGTTCGAAAATTTCAAAAACTTATTGTGTCACTGAATTATAAAACACTAATTTTATAATAAAAATACAAAAACAGTGCGTTTGTTTTTCGATATTCATTCTATGAAAACTATAAAAAATACTCAAGTTACGCCACTGGCTTGACAATAAAAATGTATTTTTTGTTTGCTTGCGTGTTACACCATTGGGATGGTTTCGAATAATAAGCAAAATGTTGAAAAAAGTCTCCATAGTTGTAAAAAAATTGATCAAATATTGTACCTTGGCATAGTTTCTACTAACATGTTACGCCACTGCAGAAAAAAGCCACGCCACTGGCATAAAAACATTAATTTGTGGCATAAATTTTCGTCGCGTAAATTCACATTACGAAATAAATTCTGTATTGTCTTATACAGTGGCGTATCTTGAGGGGTTATTTTCGAAAAAAAATATACATTTTATTAATTGATGCAGTTTGTATAACTCATCTAAAGGCACGACTAGAACATTGACAAAAAATTTTTTTTGGTAATTGTTATGTTACGCCACTGAGATGTAGTCGAGTCAAAATAACGTTACTTAAAAAATAAATTAAAATTTTTTGTTACGCCACTGATATATAAAACAAAAATTTTACTTAAAAAAATGTCCATTTCTCAGTGTTACATTAGGTTGGTCGTTAAAATAAATATATTGTTTTCTACGAAGAGTAAAAATACTCAGACTACGCCACTGGCTTGCTAACTAAAATGTATTTTTATGCTTTTTTGCATCCTACACTACTGGAATAACGCTAAATTAGCAGTCTGGTCGCAAAAGTCAACCAAAATTGCCTAAAAATTATTAAAAAAAAACTCTTAAAAATTCGAAAATTAAAAAAAATATATAATTGTGTCACGGGACTATAAAACGCTACTTTTATAGTAAAAATACAAAAACAGTGCGGTTTTTATCGATATTCACTCGATGAACTATGAAAAATACTCAAGCTACGTCACTGACTTGAAACAAAAATGTTTTTTTTTGTTTGTTTGCGTGTTACGCCACTGACATGGTTTCGAAAAGTATGCAGAATGTTGAAAAAGGTCTCCATAGCTGTAAAAAATTGATCAAATATTTATCTTGGCATAGTTTCTACATGTTACGCCACTGGTTTACTTAAAAACACTAATTTGTGGCATAAATTTTCGTCGCCTAAATTCACATTACGAAATAAATTCTGTATTGTCTTATACAGTGGCGTCTCTTGAAAGGTTATGATAATAGTTTTAGAGAAAAATAATAAATTTTGTTAATTGACATGTTACTCCACTGGTATACTAGTAAGTTATAGTAGTCGAGATTAAAAAATGCAACAAAATTTGCATAAAATTATAAAAAAAAACATAAATTCCAAAAAAAGTAAAAAAAAATGCCAAACACATACAGGGTGTTTTCTTATTATTTAAAAAAAAATGCAACCACATATTTTACATAAAAATAACATAACTTTTCAATGTAGAATATGTGGTTGCACTTTTTCGCAATTTTAAGAAAACACCCTGTATAAAAAAGTTTATGTTAACAGTTAACATGTTACACCACAGATTTATAATAATTAATAATTGTCGTTAAATAATTTTATATATTTTTATAAAATGTGAAGAACACTCATGCTACGCCACTGACTTGCTAACAAATGTATTATATGCTTGTTGGCATACTACGCCACTGATTTGCCTTTAAATTATTAACTGCCTACTCTCAAAAATTTTAGCAAATTTGCATGCCTTTTTCTGTACGCTACTGGCTCATCAAGCATTAATTTTACAATAAACGTACGAAAAAAAGTCCAACATTTATTTGAAATGTTACGAGTACGCCACTGGTTTATGGTTAAAATAGTGTTTTTGCATAAAATGTGAAAAATACTCGAGCTACGCCACTGGCTTGCTAACAAAATGTATTTTTCGTTTGTTTGCGTGTTACGCCACTGAATTAAAAAACACGAATTTGTAATTCTTTTTCTTTTAGTACAATCCCTTAAGATACGCCACTGCATAAGACAATCCAAAAGTTATTTCATAATGTGAATTTAGGAACTGAAAATATTTATTACACCACTGATATAGATAAGAGAAAAAATATTGCGTCAAAATTATATAAAATCTTATTCTTTACCCCGAATTGAAAAGATACGCCACTGGAATTAAACCAATCTGTCAAATTTGAACTTTAATGTCAAAAGTAGCGATTCATGTTGGTCAGTTTTTGATATAATAAAGTCTATTTCACACTTAAAAATTGAAACAAACTTTGTTTTGTTTGAAAAAAAAAAAAACACTGATGACGCAAAGTGGCATAAACATAAAACGTTGCACGTGTTGTTCTATGAAAATCATCCTTGACTTTTATTTTATGAAGGAAAAATAATTAAGTTTTAATAAAAATTATAAACAAAAGAAAGACAAACTAGCAATTTTTGGATTAGAGAATAAAAAAACATTTTCTGGAGCGCCATATTCATTTTTTTCAAGTATCGTTAAAAATAAAACAAAATCGAGTGCTCCATGACCTTTAGAATCCGCCTAATAGTAATAATAAAAAAACAGTCGAGTGTTTTGCTGGCTCAACTCCAAAACGACAAAAATCATTTTAAATCCGAGACAATAAATTAATCGGAGCCCCTTTTTCCGGTTTTGTTTTTAATGCAAAGTGGGCTTATGTCATTCTTACGTCACCAGTGTCAAATTAGTCGAAATGTCAAGTACCATCAGTGTTATTTTCGACGATGCTGGGGCTCGCTTTGGCCTCCTTTCCATCGGGCATGTAGAGCTTAAGCGTAGCAATGATGCACCCATGGGTCACCTTCTTGTTGTTCTCGATAACATCAACCCCAAACTGGACAATATCCCCCGAACTGACCTCGTGGTGCTCCGTCTCGGCCACCAGACGATTATTGTTGACAAAAGTCCCGTTGCTGCTCTTCGTGTCCTAAACCGGGGGCTTTAGTGGCAACTTGAGCGTATGGGGGCCCTACCTGTAGGTAAAACTTCCCGTTCTCGTACCAGAGCACCGCATGATGCCTCGACAACACCTTGCAGTCGAAGATGGCGTTGGTGGGGGTGGCTTTGGCCTTCGCCACCGAGCGCCCCACTTTGACCGGCTGGTCGAGCGCAAGGGTGCGTTCCTGGAAGGGGTGCGAGTTGGGGCGGCAGATGAGCACGGCTTTGGCGGGCATCTTGGCGTCGTTGCTCATTACCATGTCGTTGGGGGTTGGGTATGCGGCCACATTCTTCACCCAAATCCCGCTTACAACGACCATCGCCTGGGGTCAATTAGGGGCAACGAGATTAATTGACAGCCCAACAAAACAACACACTAGCACTTCGCAATGCAGTACAACACACCAAACTCACCTAAAAAGCAACGTTTTTGGGTTTTCTAGCAATTTTCATTTAGTGGGTGAAGATATGTCAAAATTTGTGGGCGTGAAACTGGCTGAAGAACTATCACAAATCGTACCAATTTTACCACATTTTTTTCCACTAGAATCGATTCGGGTTTAACGCACCAACAGCGCACACGAAGTTTACATTTTTTACATGACGCTGTTTCCCGAATTTATCGACAGTTTTTATCGCAAAGTGACATTTTCGAGCACAAAGACAAGGCTGTTTCAGGGATTTTCGCCTTTCACTAGATTGGCCACCTTGGCGTCTTATCTGCCAACTTCACGTCAAACAAAAAGTGAGGTTAGTTATACAACAAAAACATCGGAAAAATGGCAAAAAACACACCGGGGGACCGGGATAGTAGCCCCGATATGGAAATCGAGCGAGACCACAAACCCATAGTCATCAGGAACTCCACAGATTTGCAAAGACTCAAACTGGAAAAATTGATGAAAAATCCTGTAGTTAACTCGTTATTTGTTTACGTTGTAATAACTTGGATATTTTGCAGGAAAAAGAGGTGATAATCCCCGAGAGGCCCAAAGAACGAGGGGTTCCCGTAGTACCTGATTTCGTCCGGAATGTCATGGGGAGTAGCGCTGGGGCTGGTTCAGGGGAATTCCACGTCTATAGGCATTTAAGGAGAAAAGAGTACGCGAGACAGAGATACATGAAGGAAAAGGGCGAAAGGGTAATTTTTTTACCGTTTCTTCTTCAATATTAAAGAAAAGTCTTTAGGAAAAGTTAGACAACGAATATCATGCTAAACTAGAAGAAAACAAGAAGAAAGCGGAAGAAAGAACTGCAAAAAAGAGACAGAAAAGACTAAAGAGGAAACAGAAAATGAAGAAGAAGCCAAAGTTAGGCAGTAAATCGTCACAAAGTGAAGCAACTGAAAGCAGTAGCAGTGAAGAGGTGGAAAGTGAAGAATGCGAGAAAAAAAATGAAGAACAGATAAGTGACGACAGTAAACCTAAAAATGAACAAGAAACAGAAGACAATAAATCGAAAGAGGATGAACCAAAAGAAACTGAAGACAAAAACGAAGAAACGAAATAAAAACTTTAGAATTTTTTATGAAAATTGATTTATTTTTTTAAATATATCCCGGCGCATCCACCAAAAGCGTTAATTAATTTACTTATTTTTGTGATTAAATTAAAACTAAGAAAAATAAAATGAATTAAATTTTGAGAGTGTTGTGTGAAACACCGGAACGATTTGGGGCCCAGACAAGGCAAAAAAACACATTTTTTGTTATCACATTTTATTTCTTCCACAAATCAGTGTAACAATAGTGAATATTTTGCGATAGTTTTTATCACATTTAAAATTAATTTGTTGAAAAAAAATTTGATAATGGAAGACAAAAAATCAAGTGTCCTATGCTTGTCACTTTTTGTCACTACCTCACTTTCCAACGCTGGAAAAACAAAAATTGTGCATTTTTTGTAAGAATTTTTCATTGAAATTAGAAACAAAAACCCAAAAACTGTATTTTGTGTGGAAATTTGTATTTTGTGTTGCTCGCCTCGCCTTTCCCCCTAGATATTCTTCAAATCCCCCAACCGAGCCGTTGGCAGCACTGTTCTTACTCACACAATTTGTCTCCGTCTCGCGAGTGTTCGCAACCGTTACAAGTGTCCGTGTCTCGGATTGTGGTCTTTTCACTAAATAGCAGTGAAATTGTGTATTGGATATTCATTTTATCAGAATCTGTAAGTACAAATCACTCTTATCACTTTCACAGCCTGCTATCCGGTGGAAATTCCACCCGGATTGACATTGGCTAAAGCAAAATGGCCGATATTGATTTTGTCTAAAAGGCCACAAAACAGGAAAATCCGATTTTCCGGGTCGAGTTTACATCTGGGCGAGCATTTAACGCGTTTTCCTGCTTGATTACTTTGGCGGATGGGTGAGTGTCAAGTCGCGGGGTTTGAGTGGGGCTCAAGGGGGCTGTCACCCTTCATAGTCATTTGATTAAAATGGTACAAAGTACAGTCTGGAACGTGAGTAATGACGGCACCCCGGACGAGACTAGTAAACAAATGAACATTACGTCATCGAAACACGGCCAACTTTGCAAAACCGTTTCCTGTCATAATTACGGTAATATGATGCTCGTTTTGGGGGCTTCGCCCTAATTCTAATCCGTTTAGAGCGATTCTATCGATTAAACTTTGGGTTTGGCATCGAAATGTTAAATTCTTGCGATTTGTGCGTGGGCAAATGTCAAAATCGTGTTTTGTTTTTTCCAGGTAATGCAATAGAAGATTACTGAAAGTCGAGCCCCGGAACATTAACATGAAAATGGTTCTATCTCAACGCCAGCGAGAGGAGCTGTAAGTAACAAAAAAAAAAATTATTCATATCTTTGTCGTCAACTCATGTATTTTTTATCACACCAGACACATTATTGTGCACTTTGTTGTGTAGATAAAACAAAATAAATTCGGGTTATCGGTTGATTTTTCAATTGAAAACCTGTTTTTGCCGTTATGGACAGAGTTCAAATCAAGGAGGCTTTGATCATAACAGCTGTGAAATAAACTGTCATTATTCATGGCCGACTGAGAGAAAAAGAATTCATCTTGCGATATGCAATACCGTTGGAAATTACGCGTTTTACGGTAAATCTTATTGCACTTGGGACGAAAAAACAAATTACGATACGTCGTGTGTTATATTTTCACTTTTAGAAAGTCCGAAAATTCGTCGAGTCGCACGCTGAATTATCAAACAAAAGAAAAACGGAATTTCAAATTTCTCTCTCAGGATGTGAGTAATTAAAATGTAGGGGAGGTCGGGTACAGTTATGGTTTGTAGGGATTAACTGTAAGAGAGTGTAGTGAACTTGAAAGTAATTTTCAGGTTATCTCGGTCAATCGACTTTCAGAACGCTCCAAGGAACGCAAAAAATAATGCGAGGAGTGGTTCACAAATCGGAAAATTCATTTATTAGAATATTTTAAGGGAGTTGTCCTTGCGATTCGTAGGCGGCGTTGCTTAAAAATCAATACACAGAGACGTCATTGCGTAGTTACGAACGCGACCGTCTTTTATGTTTTTTTCATTGCCAAGGTGACGTTTGTTTTGTTTACGAGGGTGTTAAAATAGATGCAACGCCGTCTTGGATATTTTTGATAATTGCAGCGTAATGAACTTGAAGATTACATGTTTGTCTGGCGGATGTCTTAAAATATCTCTAGATTATTGAGAGAGCAACAAAAAATTGATAAATGACGGGAACTGTATTTTTTGTTAATTAACTTTACGAGTTGTTTATTGTTCTAATTGACTAAAATTGGTTAAGGATTGAAAGTTAAAAGTGAAAGGTTGTATTTAAATATTAGAAGTGACAGATGATGATTTAATTAGTGCTAATTTTGGAGGGGGATTGTGGGTCACCGATAAAATTAATTGCAAAAAATTGTCATTGATAAAACAGATACACATTTTGTTATAAAATTCCAATAAATAGTCATGGAGGTCAGTCTGCGTGACCGCAGAGAGGATTTCACTTTTTAAACAGGTGCTGACTAATAAAAAAACTATTTGTTTAAAAACAGTAAAAAATTATTGCCAGTTGATATATTTTGTAATAATGGAGTTGAGAAATTTTTTTATTGCACAGATTAAATTTTTGCTTCGTTTTTGTCTATAACAAGTAAACTTTCGAGCAAATCGAGGATACTTCCTGTTACTTCCGGTAATTACAAATGTGGGAAGAAAATTGAAATTACAAGAACATTACACGGTTTTAGTCATCGTCTTTTTCCCAGTTCATAAAAGTCGTTTTTTTTAATCTAAATTTTAATTCAAAATTTGGCCCTAATAATTAGAATTTTCGACATCAATTTTCTAGATTTCTAGATCATTTTACGTACGACAATAACAATTTTGATTAAATTGAAGTTTTCATATTCTCACAAATTGTCAACTCGAATTTCGAATTTAACAAAATAAGTCTTGCGGATTTGTATTTTTCAAGCTATTTTACATGAGAAAATACAATTTTGATTAAATTAGTTTTTTACAAAAATCTTAAATGTTAGATTTCGTTTTTAATAATTTGAACTTTTGACAAAATTTTTGAAACTGAATTGTAGCGGAATAATTTTTGCAGATTTGGATTTTTTAAGTTCTTTTATCAACCAATTTTAGATTAATTTTGGTTTTTCGGTTTTTCACAAAATGCCAAAATTTTGAGTTTTTTTATGTTTCGTCATTAAAAATTTAAATTTTTAACAGTATGTTTGAAATTACATTTCGTAGACTAATAAAAAATTCTTATTATTACCACCTGTATGTAAAAATGACCTCTTTTACAAGTTTAAAAAAAAATAAAAAATTGTTTTAATTTTGTTTATTCACAATCAAACTAAAAATCAAATTACCATAAATATGGTATTTCAACTTCATTTAACAATGGATGTGAAATATACAATTCAGATAGGGAAGTAGTCACTTTTTTGTCGTTTCAGGTTGGGAAATGGCCCCTTCCCAAACCGAAAATGATAAGAAAGTGACCACTTTCCAACCTAAACTGTCATATGTCATATTTTTCAAAATTCGATATTTTTTATTGGCTTTCTGTTCTTTAAATATGATTGTGAATAAAATACTATACAATTGTTGGTCGTTATTTCGTGCCTTTGTCGTCAAATTTCGCTTTGGTAATGAAGCACTTTTCTCCTCAATATGTAATCTACTATTAATTTAAAAAATGATAAAATGCACTTTTTTATTTTTATTGCAAATTTTTACCAATTACAAAAAAATGCTACATAATTAAATGAAAAATAGAAAGTCTATACCGGTCATTGGGCGCAAATTAGATCACAAATTATTTAGAAAACTTGTGTTAGTGACTTAAACAATGATTCTTCTTTTTGAGAAACTATTAGTCGTCTGTATTTTGTTTAAGTTAAATAATGAAAATTGAATGATATAATAATACTTCAATAATTTTATTATTCAATGAAAATTCGTGTTCTTAAGGCCATTCTATGCAAAACCAGGTAAATTTTAAGTGAATTGTTCTTTTTTTTTGTTTTTACAAAATCCAGTTTTTAAAGTTGCATATGAAAAAAATGATTTTTTGTCAATATTTTCAAAATTATCAGTGATAAGATAATCTTTCTTGTATTGTATTTTACTGTTATTTGAACTTGCTAGTTTTTAATTATTTCAATACAGATAAATATATTTTTTTTATATTATTGCAAAATTGAGACTTGGTATTCGCTTAGTTTGCTTTTGTTTATTTAATGACTCTTTATTGATTTTATGCAAAAGCCTTGAGTTCGTTTGTTATTTTTACGTCGTTTGACCGTGAGCTATTGATTCAAGTAAATTTTCTTTGGTTAAAATTCGTCTCGTCCTCAAATCCTCACAAAGCCTCTTTACATAACACATTTATTCAAAAAATTAATTTAACATCTGTGTTTATTTTATTACATCAGTTTGCATTTTTTACAGTAACAAAGCCATCGCTGATTACCTCGGTAGCAATGGTTACATGAACGCATTGGAAGCGTTCAAAAAAGAGACAGACATGCCCGGCGAACTCGAGCGCAAATTCGGCGGTCTCCTCGAAAAAAAATGGACTTCAGTGATACGTCTCCAGAAGAAAGTCATGGAACTTGAATCGAAACTTCACGAAGCTGAAAAAGAATACATCGAGGGGGCGCCAACTCGCGGAAAACGTAGTCCAGCCGAGTGGATCCCCCGACCACCTGAGAAATACGCCCTGACGGGTCATAGAGCCCCCGTCACTCGTGTCATATTCCATCCGATGTTTAGTCTTTTTGTATCGACGAGTGAAGATGCAACGATTAAAGTGTGGGATTTCGAAACGGGGGAATACGAGAGGACCCTCAAAGGTCACTCGGATGCCGTTCAAGATGTCGCTTTCGACGCAACGGGAAAATTATTGGTGTCTTGTAGCGCTGATATGTCGATAAAATTGTGGGATTTCCAACAGAGTTACGAATGTATCCGAACAATGCTCGGCCATGATCATAATATATCGTCGGTGGCGTTTATGCCGGCGGGGGATTTCGTCGTGTCGTCAAGCAGGGATAAAACGATTAAAATGTGGGAGGTTTCGACGGGTTATTGTGTGAAAACGTTCACGGGACACAAGGATTGGGTCAGAGTGGTGAGACCATCGCCGGATGGAAGCCTCCTGGCGAGTTGTTCTAATGATCAGACTGTCAGAATATGGCAGGTTTATACGAAGGAATGCCGAGCCGAGTTGCGAGCACACGAGCATGTGGTCGAATTTGTGGCATGGGCCCCGGATTCGGCGGCGAATGCCATCAACGAAGCGGCGGGAGTGGATAACAAAAAGGGGGCGCATATGGGGCCGTTCCTCGCCTCGTGCTCGAGGGATAAGACAATCAGGTGGGGAATTTTTTGGTGTAGAAAGTGTAGCATTTAGGGATTTTTTTTATTGCAGGATATGGGATGTGGGCGCGGGAGTGGCTCTCTTCGTGTTGATCGGTCACGACAATTGGGTTCGAGGGGCTGTTTTCCATCCCGGTGGTAAATTTTTAGTGTCGGTTAGTGACGACAAAACATTGAGAGTTTGGGATTTGAGAAATAAGCGCTGTTTAAAGACGTTAGATGCTCACAAACACTTTTGTACGTCTGTAGGTGAGTTTGTTTGGGATTTATTGTTGTTGGTTTTGTATTGATTTGTTGTTTCAGATTTCCACAAATCACATCCTTTCGTGATTTCGGGAAGTGTAGATCTAACGGTGAAAGTGTGGGAATGCCGTTAACTTTTTTTTCACGGTTGGAGTGTAATTTAATTATTTAAGCCAAAACATTTATTCCTTTTTGAAAGGTTTTTATTTAGTGCAAATTCAGTTTTTTGTGATTTTTTTTGTTTCATTAAAATTGGATTTAAGGTCTGGAATTTTTTTCTTTTCATGTGTGAATGATTTGTAGTTTCCGTTTAGAACAAAGTTTATTTTTGTTATCTTACGATCGGTCTTTTTTGTGATATATTTTTATTAGAAACTGAAAGTTAGTTACTCTTAAATGCTTCAGATATTTAATAAACAGGCAGTGGATATTGATGGAATTATTATTGACAGTTCTCGATACTCTTGTTTATTATTTTCTTTTGTTTTTTATCGAGATGTGTCAGAAATAAGTTCATAAAAAAATGTAGAGCTTTTTCAGTTCAAGTTTTAGACACTATTTATAGGGGAAGAAATTAATATCATGTTGGTATTAATTTTTTGACATTTTAATGACAGTTGCAACTAGTTAGCTATAATAATCTCTCAATGTAGAACTTGAAAATGTATATTGCACAAGTCCCGCTTAAATCATGGAGAATTATGTATTTTTTTAAATACTCATTTCATATCTTATTAATTTCCAGTAATTGTTTTAACAAAAACATCCTAAAATCGCTTGCTTACCATGTATAGTGGCACAATGTTCGTATATAGCCTTACATTGTTTTTTCGAGTAGGATATGTGAATATTTTCTTCTGTATATAAAAATAAAATTGTCTCCTTACATCTTTTTTTATTGCCAACTCGACCTACAAACCCAAAAATCAATAAGTTTGAATTTGGCGCGAGACTAAAATTGTCAAATGCATTTGACATTTGCGCATGCGTAATTGAGAATCTGGTTTTTAACAGAAAGTATTGTTTATTTTGCAAAATAACAATTTTTGAAGATTTGTGACGAATTTTAAGACCGCGACAACATTTTTCTCTGTTTGGGATTAATTTGTTACATGGGAGCTTCATAATGCACCTTGACGAAGACCTAAAGGAAGATCGGATGGATTTTATCGAAGAACAAGTAAAATTCGTAAAAACCGAAAAAGAAGGTCCTGACAGGTGGTAAAAATAAGCTTGATGTCGTAATTTATCAAAAATCAAATTTCTTACAGCAAACATTCATTGAAAATAAGCACAATGAAGATGAAAATACGTGAAAAACTGATCACGCCCTCGAGACCTGTAAATTCCATAAAAAATGTAAATATATTAAAAAAAAGACCGCAACCCGGAAGTGTTACGATTAATAATGAAAATAAAACTGAAAATTTAAACCAACCTAAGGTACAAATATCAAGCCCCGTAGTGACGAATAAGCAAAATGGTGTTGGTTCATATTATTGTGTTAGTTCATATTCTGAAATTGAAAGAATTAAGGCCGAGTAAATAGTTTTGTTGTGTTTTTTTTATAATTATGAGAATATGTTTTTAGAGAGCGAAAGATTAAAGTTCAGGTTAGGTCTCCACCAAAGTCAAGGCAAGTAAAAACAGTTCAAAATCTCAATAATGATTTTTATTTCAGTTCAAATCCTGGCAGCAAAATCAACAATTTTAGGTATTTTACCCCCAAAAAAGTCTTGTTTTAATAGTTTTTTTCAGGCCACGGAAAGCTGCAATACAGTTTAATGAACAGCACTTGAAAAATCCATTTGCAGCGAAACAAATGTGGAAAGTTGCCACTTCAGTAATAGAACAACAGAGACGAATTATAAAAAATTTGGAAACCAAAAACGAGAAACTTTGTAAAAGAATTAAACTACTAGAAGCCGCGTTCAACGACATACAGAATTCATCAAACAAATCCGGAAATTGTTACATTATACTCAAAGTATTATTTTTCCATTTCTTTGATTTTTGTTAATTGCGTTTTATTCCAGAAACCGGGCAATTATGTCATCCAATGGAGCTAATCACGTCACCGAAGTATGTTCGATAAGTTTTTGTCTTAAATAAAGCGTCTACAACTTTTTTTCGTGTTTTATTTCATTCTGTATAATATTTAAAAACCTTGATTATGGTCCACTGTAATTTTGACAGTTAGCGCTAAAACTTTGACAGTTGTTGGTCTTCCTAACCTCACATTAAAAATTCTATTTGTTTTCGGCGCAAATTGAAATAAAAATTTACTAATTACGTCACTTAAGTCTATTGTATAAATGTTTGTGTTAAGTAAAAAAAAGTTTTAGTCGAGTTTGCAAGACTAGTTATGGTCCACTGTAATTTTGACAGTTAAAAGCTGAAACCTGAAACAGTCATCATAACCTTACACTTACGGTTTTGTACGTTTTTTGTACAAATTTGCATTAAAAATTATGTGAAAGTGATCGCTTTGTTTTTATTTGTGATTTTAGCAGTTTTATTAAATACAGTCCCTATGGCCACCTCGTCCCAAATCGAGACCTACGTAATTGACGACGACGAGGAGCCCCACACCTCCGACCTCGACGAAGAAGAGAACCGTTTCCACAGCATAAACTCCGCTCTAGACAAGCAAATCGCGCAAGACATGGAAGCCATCCGCAACTACATCTCCGAAGCCCCCCCGTTTGACCCCATGAAGAAGCGGATCGAGTTTTTCAACAGTATGGATACATCGCACATCGACCGGTACGTGGACAGGACCGTGGACCCCATTTTGTGCCAACACACGGGTCTGGGGACCATCAAGTGGCACACCTGCACCCAATGCGACTTCAAAGCTGAAAACAAGGCCCAGTTGCGGCAACACGTCATCATCAAACACACCGAGTTGGGGAAATTGAATTGGTGTGTGTGTCAACACTGCGAATTCGTGTGCCCCACCGAGGCCGACATGGCGAAGCACAGAAAGGGGGCGCATGAGAACAGGTGCAAAGACTGTGAAATGGTGTGCGCGACGGAGCCCCTCATGTTGAGACACAGGGCGCAGGAGCACGGGCTGGAAGTGTTTGATTGTAAACGGTGCGATTTTGTGACCGAAGTGAAGGAAGATTTGACAACACATATTTTGACACATGCCAAGTTGAATTTCAGTTGGTATAAATGTGAAAAGTGTGTGTATAGAACGGTCAAAAAGGCCACTTTAGACAATCATATAAAGCGAAAACATTCATTTTTTTAGTTTAAGAATTTACAATCAGAATTTTTGATTTACTTCTATTTTTTACCTCAAATAAAATACTAAGATCGCATTTGTGTTGAATTTCATTTCAAGTCGTGTGATTGGTCAAAGCCGATCACATGGTCTTATTACAGTTTTCTTTAATTTAATATTTTGTCACTAAGTTGGTAGAAGTGGAAAAAAAACAAGTGGGTGCACATAAAATACTTTATTTGAATTATACAGATCTATCTACACGTTATAAGAATAATTATATTACAACACTCTCAACTATACATTATTTCCAAGCGAAAATGTGCCTTATAACACTATTGCAAAAGCATTGCTATAAGAAAAAGCATGCATTATTTCGTGGACTTAACAATGGAATGATGCAACAATTTCAAAAAATATCTCATAAATAATACTTTTACAATAAATTGAATAAAAACATTGAAAACAATTGATAATTTTTAGTGACAAGTGACCGAATCACTGTTCTTTCTTATTAGTGGCTTGGCTGTAACTCGGTGGATTTTCCTAAAAAAACAGTGTTTTTTATTTTAAATTATTACGATTGGCATCCCTGACTTACATAATACGCTGGTGGGGGCACGAACGCCATCTGTGGCCGATTCGGATCATAGTAGGCCGATTGTGCGGCCTCGGCTGCCTTCGCATCTTAAATAAAACAAAAATTCGTAAATTTGACATTTATTTGACAATTGACAACAATCAACGCCCTTGATAATTACCTGCAGGTGAGGCAAATCCAGCCGCGCCCCCTTGAGGTGGATAACCCCCTTGGGGTGGATAACCACCTTGCGGGGGCGGATACCCTCCCGGTTGATAGGCGGGGTTTAGACCCGGATACGGGGGTGGCGCTTGTGTCATGTAAACTCCATCCGTCGGCGGATTATCAGGAAATTGTTGACGGGGTGGCACCCAACCGTAGTAACCCTCAGGAGGCGGGGCGTAAGCTGGAGGTGGAGCCGCATACCATTCGGTATTGGGGGGGACGTACGGTGGTGGGGCGTCGTTGTTCATTCCTCGCGTCGCTAGAGGGAGCGACAGTAGCGATCAATAATTACACGTAATTACGCGAAATTATCGGTAATTACAGTAAAACAAGTGACAGTTGTTTGAATCATGGCCGACGAGAACATTCTCGAGTATTTCGAACGCGAAAAATCAGTGAAAATTCCAACACACATCAAAAATCTCCTGTTATTTGCTGGTTTCGACAACAAAATGTCTTTATCGAAATTCGAGAGTGAAGATATCGACGAATTGGTGAAAATCGGCCGGGAAATCATTCCACATGTCATCGATCGCGTCCTCCATGAAAAATATCTCGGAATTTTCGCAACCGATCCTCGATTGTTTTCGATATTTTCCGGTCATCGAAAAATCCTTATCGAAATGTCACAATTCTATCGTAATTTTCCATCAAAAAAGCGTCACACTAGTGACACCTGTGACACACCAACGAAACGTAATAGAACAGACGAACATCGCGATTTCGAGGGAGAAAAACAAAACATTTTTGCACTGCTTTCTAATTGGATAATAAATTTTTGCTCACGCAATTTGACCAATGAGGAATCGGCACACGTGACACGTGAAATGTCTAAAATGCGAGTCGAAATATCAAACGAGGATTCGAATCAATGTTTTGTCACGTGTTGTGTGTGTCTGAAAGACGTGAAGATTTTCAGGAACCAGAACGGATTTTGGATCATGTCGAACATTCATAAACATTTCAAGACGCATCTGAATACGATTTCCAACAAGAAATTCAGCAAAAATATCAGCCTTTCCAGCACGATTGCCAACCACGAGTCGGACTCGGCCGAAATTAGCGAAATCAAAGTGGAAAATGACTCGGAATAATAACTAACTATGGGTAATTCTAGCAATTACCCGAAATTCCTCACCTATTGTACCTATTTTGCTCAAGAAAATGAAACTAAATAAAAAATTAACACTGCAACACTTGCGTTTTCGTCCTGATTCGAAACGAAACTAAATTTAAAGCAAATTTTACCGATAGTTTCACTTGTTACACCACCTAAATCGGCTAATTGAAACAATTAAGCTTAATTATAATTAAATTTGCAATTTTTATTACAAAATAATTTAAATATAACAGAGTTTCGATTCTATTTCCCGTTAGGTATTTTTTTTGGCTGAAATTCATGAAACTTGAAATACCAAGGTCACTTGAAACAAAAAAAATCAGGTTGCTTAGCAACGGACCCGAAACAAAACAAGATCTTAGACGTCTTACAAGTTCACGTGATGTTTTTATCATCGCTCACTTGATTAATCGAAAAATAACGTGCGAAATGTTTTTTCCGGTGATTAGGGCAATAAAATCACGATTTTCGCTTTGCGAAACGTTGCGCAATTTGTGAACTCACCCAAATAGGCAGCTTTGAGCATCGCTTGTCCGAAATCGATGGCCCCCCCGCGCTTGAAAGTGAACTTGAACTTGGCTTCCCCAATCCAGTTGCCGTTTGGTTGAGCCCGGACTTTCCCCTTGATGTAATTCGCCCCAAAGACCGGTTGTTCAATCTCCACCTACAGCCCCCTTATTTACAAATGTTTAACGAATGGGCGATACACAAACCTCACTCAAAGTTACGAATGGGAAACTGAAACTCTGCATTGCGTCGTTGCCATTCTTGTTGTTGAAGATGAGTCGATGAGTGGTTAGGTAGAAACGGCCGGTTTTGGTGCCCTTGAATGTGGGGTCCCCCTGACCCGACCATTCGATGCTGACGTCGTCGGCGAATAGCAAAATCCTGGAAATGAGACACTAAGGGGGCGACGTGGGGCAAAAAGTGGTACTTACCGCTCACCGGCGTGTATTAAAACGCCGCCGTTTATATGAGCCGTGTTTACAGACATTTCGAACTGTTTCACAATGAGATTATTTGTTTTTCTAGAAAAATTGTCGATAACTCCCTGATTTTGACAAGTGACATTTGACGTGACGTTTAAAATGTCATTTGTACAAAAACAAGAGAGGGGGTAAGTAAAAGCACAATTAAGGCGCGATATTCAATTTTATTAATCACAGTACAAAGCCAGAATTTGGCTTATTATTAATCACATTGTAATAATAAAGATCCAACACTGACATCTCGCGATTGGGCACAACCCTACAACAAACCCATCAGAAAAACGCCGAAAATACCACAATTTTACCCACTTTTGGACCTTGGTAGGGCCCCTGATTTGGTTCCACCGCGACACTTTATGCCTATTATGTACCATTAACCCCAAAACGGAGACCCAAAGCGCGTAATCGAGAATATCATGCCGATCGACCAACTTCTCGAGGAAAGTCTGGCCCAAACTGAGATTCTCGCTCGCCAAACAAGCATCAAAAATATCCCCGAAATATTTCAAATAATTCTCGAATAAAAATCCGGTGAAAACTCCAGGTTGTGAGGTAAACTCATTGATCAGTCGGTCAAAATCGTAAGCGATTCGGCCATTTTCACCCAATTTCGGATTCAAGACCCGGCCGAGGGCATGAAAAAGACCCAAATTTTCATCACGTGACATTATTTCCACTGAAGAGGAATTATCACGTTTGCGTTTGGTTCCGGGTTTTTGCGTTTGAGTTGTTGGCAAGTCTGAAGTTCCTGGAATTTTCTTGTGAAAATTAGGAAAAAAAAAATTTTTTTTACCTAAAAGAGCGGCAAAATAATACTGATTTAAGGCACATTTCAAATCGCCCATTGACGTCGAAATGATGGCAGAGACTGTACTTTGGGCCGGAATTTTGAACAAATCGAGATTCTCCTGAACAAGGTTTTGAGCCCTTTTAAGGGCAATTTTCATCAAAGTTGGGGCGCAACCGTTGAAACTAATCGTCGAAATTTGATATTTAACCCTTATTTCTTCACTAAATAATTTATCGCTTAAATTAATTTTATTATCAAACGTGTCCGTGCAAACGAAAATGACTGGATAATTCCCTTTGTAGTAACATTCCCTTGAAATAAAAACAATTATTAATTGTTTAAACCCCAAATTATGCCCTAATTACTCCAAAACTGTTCCAAACTCGTCACAATTCCTCAAAAACGTGTTTGGAAACTCCTCAACTAAAATAACTTTCTTACTTCCAGTAGAAAACAACGAATTCCATTTAGACTCGGTCAAAAACTCCACAAATCGAACCACTTGATTGGGCCCCCGACACACCTCAAAATCCTGATCCAGGGGGTTCACCCACTCTGTAATGTCAATTGACAATTTCTTACATAAAATTTGAATCGTGATCGACTTTCCCGACCCCGGGGGGCCCGTAACCAGCAAAAACTTCGCATTCGGCTGAAATTCAATGTCACACAACGATTTAAAAGCGGTCAATGACTCACAGATCTGTTTTTATTATCGCAGACGTTGCTTTGTAACCAGTGCTCAACTTCGGCGATTTTTTTCGAATGGATGGCCAAATCCGGCACTGTCTTCGGCGCTAAGCGTTGGTGAAAGTTAAAGCTGCGTTTTTTAGGCACCGGAGACGTGACTGATGTGTCTTTTTTCGACGCGTTTGCAAGTTTCGCTGGGGGGGCATTATGGTCCGTTTTTTCCGGGTCGAGAAACAAACCTAACCATTTCTGCAAAACATAAGCTTTTATTACCGAATTTGTTCAGTTTTAAAGACACAGCACACACATTTCCGGTTTTTTTCATGATTTCAGCTGAGTTTGTTTCAAATTTGTTGACATTTACAGTGACAGTCAGGCTGGCCAATCAACAATTTACATTAATTGAATTACTATTTAAAAATAATAAACAGCTATAAAAACATTTTTTTAATATAGATGTTATCGACTAGTTAATTTTTTTAATTTCCGCAATTTAAATAATTTAAATCGCTTAAAATTAATAAATTCAGTAATCGTGTCAGTGTTGCCAATCCATAACTCACACAACTGTCTCAATTTTGGGGTTAAGGTTTATTTCTCGAAAAATTCATTTTTTGGCCCTATTTCTCACAATGTCGGTGGAGGACAAGCTCCAAATGGGCCCCAAGCCGGGAGTGACGTACCCCTTGCAAGTGATTTACTGTGGCAACTGTTCAATGCCGATTGAGGTTAGTTGTCACCCCCCAAATCCCCTCAAGTTTAATTTTTGTCTTAGTATTGCGAATATTACCCCGAATACGACAAATGTAAACAATGGCTCGAGCGCAATCTGCCCGACGAATTCGAAAAAGTGAAAATCGGGGACGAGGCGAGTGAAGGAGGCGGCGGAGAAGAGGAAAAAAAGCGTCAGAAACGTGGGGGCAAAGGCATGATCAAGGCGAAGAAGAAGGAAGACGGGCCGAAGCAAGTGTGCGTATCGAGGGCCCCCAGAGGCAAGAAGAAGTCGGTTACGGTGGTTACAGGGCTCAGTGGATTTGGTAAGGGGGCCTGGAGGGTGGTTTTTTATGTTTTTTTTTTTTTGTAGATATTGATTTGAAGGTGGCGGCGAAGTTCTTTGGGACGAGGTTTGCGTGTGGGTCTTCAGTCACAGGGGAGGACGAAATTGTGATCCAGGGGGACGTCAAGGATGATTTGTTTGATGTGATTCCCGAGAAATGGCCAGAGGTACCACAATTACGGTAAAAAGTCACTAAATAGTGACACTTGTTTTGTTGCAGATTGATGAGGACTTGATTGAGGATTTGGGTGACCAAAAACGATAACTTATCACAAATTCGTGGATTTATACTTATTACCAATACAGTTGTGTCGTTTTTCAGACCATTGTTTCATAATTACAACAAAAAAACCCTAAAATTATTCCTGTTCCTGTGTTGTGTCATTTTCCACACTTTTCTGAATGTGGGGGAAGTGTCGAAGCATGATTTGTAAAATCTGTTCGACTTGTTCTTCACTTAGCCTTTCTTCGCTTTCTTCAATCATCTGAAAAACAAACTTAAAAATTGTCAACATTTGGGGAACACCAACCAATTGGATCTCCAAAGCCGTGGTTGGGGGCGAATTAATTAACATCAATTTCTCATTTTTGTTCAAATTAAACGCTTCCAAGTCTTTCAAACACTCGACAATTGATTCTGGAGTTTGTTGGGCACAAGGAGTATTTTCCAAGTATCGCAAAGTCTACAAAAAGCCAATGAATGAAAGTTGCCTTTTTTCACCCCCAATAATCTAATTACTTCATACGTAATCGTTGCTAACTGTCCTTTATGTTTTTTTCGACTGTCTTTTATCCGTTGTAGATGTTTCATAACCTCAAAATTACTCAAAGTCGCACTGTTTGCATTAACACTAAAAAACATACAGTAATGATAAATTATCCAATTGTAACCACTTTGACTCACATTTCCATTACAATTTCTGTTTAAATCAAGTGAAAAATTGTTTTTTTTATAATTTTCAAAACCCCAATTTAGTGATAAATCAGAAAACCCTAAAATTTTACAAATATGGCTAGACTTCCTAACCTAGCTTTTGCGAGAAATTTTTCGAAATTTTCGTGTAGTTTTGTGAGACCTTTGATGACGACCCAATCGCGTTGTGAAAAAGCCCTAGACGAGCTTTCCAAAAATGCCTATTACGAGAAATATGCTGACAAGATCGCCAAATTACAAAAAACCTCCCCAGAGGAGTTCCTCTCTCGAATAGACGGCCTCAAAAAGACCAAAGCCCCGAAAAAGAACCCCGAAACGATCACCGAAGGCAAGTTTTCGCAATTACTAAACCCGAAGAAGCCCCTCAGCTCCGTGGAAGCCTCTGAAGCTTCCTTGGACAAAGTCATGAAACTTGACTTGATTAAGGATAAAACTCCGGAAGAAATTAAGGAAATCTGGCATCAGTACCACATCCAGAAGAATTACATCTCGGCTGTTGTCCCTGCGGATGACTATGCCGAGTTGGAGGCAAGGGGGCGCCAATATCCCACGTTTCTTTTTCCCTTGCCCCGCAAAGAGGGGTACGAGTTCATTATGGCGCAATTTGAGGGGAACTGTGTGCACTTTACCCCCCTTTTATACTATCAGGTGCACAAAGAGAACGCCCCTGAGTGTCTCACAATGACACATTACACCGAACTAAAAGACGAGAAGAAAATTGTCTTGATGAGGGGGGAGTATGATAAGAATGTCATTGATTTAAAGGAGGCCCAATGTCTCGCAAATCAGTTACAATTGTATTACGTAAGACCCACGGGGGCTCACTTGGAGCTGCTGGAAAGGTTCACCAAACGCCCGGATGAGTTCAAACACATGGATTTGATCAAACAAATCGAGAATTTGTCCTTGTAAATATGTAATTTATTTAATTGTAAAAATAAAATTATAGTAACATAACCTCACTTTTTTGTTCGATTTTTGACCCGATTTATATGCCTAGTTTTCTTGGTCATTTTCCTATGTTCTACGCATTTTTTTTTTCAACAAAAACGCGTATTTCTAGTAAAACATCAAAAACAACGTTCTATTTGACTTTTTACCCTGATTTTTAACCCTAACTTCTAACTCAGATTTTCCAAAGAACATAATTTTTTTAGGAAAATGAGTCGATTTTCAAGTTTTAGTCGTTGAAGTTTGTTGAGTTTGAAAAACATCCCATTCCCTTTTCAAAAACACAAAAAATTGGAGAAAATGACCTGTTTTTAAGCCCATTTTATCTGTTGAAATATCAGTTTTTTATGGAAACTACCCTATTTTTTATGGTCTTTTTAAAAATGTGAGCCAGATTTTTTTACCAAAAATAAGGAAAACTAACCCTATTTTTATAATCCCTTAAAAAATGTGAGCCAGACGTAACAACTGAATCTGTTTTTTTTTTAATGCATAAAACAGAGGAAAATGACCAAGAAAACTAGGCATAATAATCTGAGTTAAAACATTACACATATTAGACTACTAAAATTGAAAATCAATTAGTTTTCCAAGTCTATATCAAACAAAATAAAGAACCATCTGACACACTTCTGTGGAAATTTTAAAAACCGAATTTCATAAAAATTAGTTATTATTTAAAAAAATATTTACTAACTCACAACTATAGAAATGTCAGGAACAAATAACGAAAACAGTTTTTTTTTTATTTTTAAGTGTAAGTGTTTTAAGTGTTTTTTTTTTTAATTCTTAAGTGTAAACATTTAAAAAAATACGTTGATGCATAATGATAATAAAATACTTCCAATTATTAAAAGATTTTTACTTTTTTTGACATATTACTGAGTGTGTATGAATTATAAAAAAGTTTTTTAAGTAAATGTAAATGTTTTTTAAGATGTGTGAAAATGGTACCAACTTACCGGTTCAACTCCCCCAGATTGAAATAAAACAGCCCCATTTTACTTAAAATAATTTATTAAAATTATAGTAATGATCCTCAAGGATGAAAATGAAAATGAAAATCCAACTTTAACTTTCAAATCCTCAACCGGAAGTGATGACAATGTGAAAATATTGAAACTTAATAATCAGACAAATTCTTTACAAATTAATTTCGCCGCAATAAACTACCACCATAATTACAATATTTCATCAGCTACTTGTACTTCTAAAGACACTAATGAAACACAGAATTCTCACTTTTTTGTTAAACATAATAATGATGCATTTTTATTAAAAATTAAAAATTGGATTCTAAATTATAGGACATTGCTTTCTCAGAAGGCCATAAATGAATTATTACATATTTTAAACAATGAAGGCTATAACTTTCCAAAAGACGTTAGGACTTTGTTAAGTACTCCACGTTCATGTAAAACTTTAAATATAACAAACGGTGAATATTGTCATTTAGGCATTGCAAATGGTATAAAAAATATTTTAAAAGATACAACCACTCTAACAGAAAATCAAATAGTAAGTATTAGTGTAAATATAGATGGCTTGCCACTTACCAAAAGCTCTACAAGTCAACTTTGGCCAATTTTAGTACCTGTAGATTCAAATAATGGATGTATGAGTGAACCTTTCATAGCAGGCGTTTATCACGGGGCAAAAAAACCTGAAGATGTTTCTGAATATTTAGACTACTTTGTTCGAGAATTAAAGAGTTTGAATCACACTGGAATAAAAATTAATAATATTTGTATTTTTCCTAAATTAAGTCGTCTTATTTGTGACGCTCCAGCTAAGTCTTTTGTTTTATGTGTAAAGGGTCATACCGGGTACCACGGCTGTACCAAATGTATAGTTGAAGGTGAATTTTTAAACGGACGAATGACGTTTCCGAATATTAATTCACCTTTACGAACGGATGAGTCTTTTAAAAATAAAACGGATGAAGATTATCATCTTTCAGTGAGTCCACTCGAGCAATTAGATTTGGGTCTTGTTAGCCAAGTACCACTAGACTACATGCACTTGGTGTGCCTAGGCGTAATGAAATATTTGGTGCTATTTTGGATTAAGGGTAAAAGAAATGTTAGAATTCCTGATAAAAATATGGGTAAATTAAATGAGCGGATAGCAGTTATTAAAAAATGTATTCCACAGGAGTTTATGAGACTTCCAAGAAAATTAGATGAAACTGACAGATTTAAAGCAACTGAACTAAGACAGTTACTATTATATACCGGTATCTTTATTTTCAAAGACATTTTAACCAAAGACCAATTTATGCACTTCATGACTTTACACACTGCCATTAGAATTTTATGTTCTCCCCAATTATGTCTTCAATACAATGATTGGGCAGCAGATCTACTTTGTWATTTTGTCAGTAATTATGGAGTTTTATATGGTTCTGAATACATATCATACAATGTCCACAATTTGGTGCATCTTCCGAATGACTGTAAAATTTATGGATGCCTTGAGAGGTTCAGTGCGGTTCAGTTTGAGAATTTTTTGTATAAAACAAAAAAGTTAATAAAATTCTCTAGACACCCACTGCAGCAACATGAAACTGAAAATACCACTGGTTTGAATGAAAGTATTACATGCTTCCGAAAACTAGTAATACAAGATTTTGAAATCATTGTTAATGATAAGGATAATTGTGTGTGTCTAAATTACGGTAGTGTTTTATGTAATAGCAACATTTTTCAAGATATTTAAAAAAACATATATATTTTTGGGAAAAAGTTTTTAGTATTGTCCGCACTATATAAAGAACCAGGCGACTSTAAAGCATTGTTTAATATAATGAAAGCACAGAATTTATCTACAAGTTTTTCAAAAATAAAATATGACTGCATTAAAAACAAATGTTTAAAATGTCCTCTAGAGGATGATGGATTTATGYTTGTACCATTGATTCATAATGAAATGTCAGAATTTGAATAGTAAATAAAATTCGCCATTCTCAAAAACATTTCAAAGGTAACTTGACCCACATTCTTTTATGTATAGTCTTTATAATATATTTAATTGCAAAAARACACTTACCCACAACGGTAGAATATTTTAGTGAAACACTGACCAGAACACAAATATCAATTAATTTTTAAAATTACAAGAATTAATTAAATGTTTGGCTATATATTAGATTTTAATTCTGTGTAGAAATTGTAATCAGTATCGGCAGAGTAATAGGCAATTAAATACTAATGAAAAACAGACAATTTCTCCATGTTCTTTATTTCAGTTTACTGTCGTGGAATTTATTGATTCCAAAGCCATTTCCGCTGTTCCACGCAGGTGACTAATCGAAAAAAATGAAGATTTTTTTTTGTTCTTGGCCAAAAACACAGTGTAGAAAAAATATAAAAAAATACAGCGCCTCAAAATGATTGGGAGGTGTATCCTGTCAAAATTTTGTTGAAAACCAGTGTTTCCTATTTAAATGCTCTGGAATTAGAAAAAAAGAAAGCAAATAAGAGAGAGAGCGAAAGTGATATATCTACATCTGATAATGTGGACAAAAACATAAAACGAAAAAAAAAGGAAAAAAATATCCAGACTTTATAACAACAAATGATCAAGATTGTACATCAGAGAGCGAGGATGGTCTACTTGCACCACCACCAAAAAATGACCACTACTGAAGAAAACGTGCCACTATTGCCAATTATAACAAATGCAACCAATGAGCGTCAAAATATGGATAATGAAACTGACTCACGGCATGAAACTGACTCACAAAATATGGGATCCGATGATACTTGTAAGCCCGAATATAACAACTTGAAAGACAGTGACGTTTAAATATAGTAGATTTTTTAGTATCTATTAGTTCAACTGATTTAATGCCGCCGCCACCTCTACCGGATGTTCCGAATATACTTGAGGATCATGTTGATCAAAATGAGGAGCGTGATGAAAATCTAAATAAAGGTTGGTAAAATAACACTTTTTTTGTTATTWTATCGGTTATGTTTATCATTATCATTTTTTTACGATTTTGTAGTAATTAGTTAATTACATATAACCACTTAATTTCTTCATTATAAAAAATAATGCTGTGTAATTTTTTCATTTTAGATGAATCCATCATAGTTGACATGCAGATGATCGGTAAGTGAATATTGATTTGTAAGTTCTTAACAAATATCTTATTATTCTTTGCTTTTACTTTTAATTACCCACATTAATTTTAGATTATGACTTATATAAAAAAATTGATGATGTTTTAAGAAACACTGTAAATAATCAAATATTACTAGAAAGAATTGCAATAGCAGTTGAAAGAGGGAATACGGGAACCAATTCAAATTCTTCCAATATCCAAAATTTTGAAACTGTGCCCAAAAAACCTTTTAAAAAATATCGAGAGCTAATGCTTTTTGAACAAAAAGTTATAGCTTCAGAAGATGCTCAACGGCAACTGGTACATAAAATAAGAATTACATATATTTTTTGATTTATGTAATTTTTTAGGAAATGGCTCTGGGGATCCACTCAAAATGAAAACATAAAGCGAGGTTTAAAAATAATATTTTCAGACAAATTAGCGAGAAAGTGCTCGTGGTACGGAAGAAGAGAGAACCACAAGATTGGAAACCTCAAGGTTATACAAATTTTGAAAGGTATAACTACTTACTTCACCTAGTTATATAAGTTGATTTTTATATAGTTTGATACAATTATTTTRTGCATTACTAAAATCTGTTTATTCTACTTTACAGCTGCCGTTCGAAGAAACTTTAGTACAATGTTAGACAAAGAGTTTGAGGACCACGTCGCGGTATGGTTGCGGCAAGCCAATTTGCGTTACCAAAGAAGTCAAAAATGATTATACATTTATTTACTTATAATAACATAACATTAAGCATTAAGTGATCCAGAAATCTGGAAACTATTTTTTTCTGGCAATATTCAATTTTTGATTGTCTCGCCAGAAAAAAAATCGTTTCCATACTTCTGGACCAACCTGTAGTTTTGTTCATTTTTGATTGATTCAGAAT